CTTCATTTTACAGTTGAGAGAAATGAGATACACATGTCTATATGCAACCAAAACTCAAGAAACTGGGTTTGTAGTTTACTGCTGTTTCCATTACCATTCCTATCCTGTCCTGCCTTATTCTCTATCACATGACAACTTCAGATTAAGAAACGAAGTAAAACTTTAATTTTATTAAAATTTTAGTTGTGCTTTTTAGTTGTTTGATACGGTACTGGGGATTGAACCAGAGCCTTGCTCATGCTAGGTAAGCACTGTACCAGTGTACTACATCCTCAGCCTAATGGGCATTTTCATGTTAGTGCTAGTTTTGTTATACCCATCTGTACAAGTTGCAAATTTATCAGTTTTGCTTCCTACTTTAATCTTCAATGAGTGGTGATACATTCTATGCGTAGATTTAAAAAGTGTATTTTCTGAGTTTGTTGAAATGAGTTGTTTTGTCTTTTAATTTTCTGGTAGAAAAAAGATCTGATGGTGGGAGAACATGGCAGACAGATAGCAGCAGCTAAGGAGGCTCTCTGAAAGACCCAGCTTAGAATCCAGGAATGGTGTGGAGTGAGGAATCCTAAGCAAGAGAGGAGATATGCCCTGCTGACCCAAGAATGAAACTGGGCTGAGACAAACCAACTGGGAATGCAATCCTGGTGCTATAACAAGAACAGATAAAGCCTCAGCGTGGAAGCAGGAGCCCGCGCAATTGGAAGCCATGATTTGGGTTTCCTGCCCCTGCGGCTGCGTCTGAATGGGCTCGGCAGGGAGAGAAACGCGCGAAAGCTCTGAGAACGGGAATCTGTGAACGGAGTTGAGAGCGGGACGGGCGGGGAGCCGTGCATCAACCTGTGGTGAGTGAGGGAAACGGGCACTCTTCCACAATCTAGGAGGCTCCAACAGAGGACATCCTGGGACCGGGTAGTCTTGCTGGAACAGGGTGTTGTAGTGACTTCAGTCACATGTTCCCCTCTCAAGCGTGATCGGTGAGCAGTGCCTAGCCTACGTGATGCTGCTGGCTGAGACTCAGTAGGCTAGCACAGCCCAGGTCCCAGTGCCTGAAGGAGACCTGGAGGGGTGGGCCCTGTATAGGTTGCCCGGTCTGTAACTCCCTGGTGCACTGTGGTGGGCAGGAACACCTAGCTGGCGCAATTCAGTCAGACTGTGGCCAACAGGGAAGGAAGCTGGGCCTCCTATATACGCTTGCATATATAAGGAACAAAGAATATGGGAAGAGGCAGCAACAAGAAAGGCTCCTTGGCCCCCAATCCTGAGAAACAGGCAATAGCAGACACTGCACCAATAGACATAAAGCGCTATCTCCAGAGCCTCATAGACGAGTTCAGGAATGAAGTTATTAATGACCTGAAGCTAGACATAAGCAGAATAGTTAGAGAAATGCTAAGCACCACCCAAGAAAAAACAGATGGTGGAATGGAAGAACAGAAAAAGAGGGGAGAATTGTTCAATGGAGAAACTAGAGAAAGCATAGAATATGTGAAGCAGGTTCAAAGAGATTACCAGGAAACTAAAAACTCTGTCGAAAACTGGCATAACAATTTGAAAGAAACTAAGGATAGATTATCTGACCTGGAGGCCAGATTTGTAATATGGGAGCATGAAATGAAAAACTTCTTAAAAATAACAAAGAAACAAACACCAATAATACAAAGACTAGAAGATGATAAGAGGATCTATAACTTAGGAATTAAGAACATAAAAGAAGAGGTAGGGACACAAACAAATGAACTACAAAAGCTACTTGCAGAAATAATCCAGGAGAATTTTCCTAATTTAGCAAAAGGTAAAGATACTCAGATGTATGAAGCATTCAGTACCCCAGCCACCCACAACCCAAACAGAACTATACCCAGGCATATAATAATCAAAATACCAGAAATCCAATATAAGAACAGAATATTAAAAGCCATCAGAGACAAGAAACAGATCACTTACAAGGGAACACCCATCAGAATTACAGCAGACTTCTTGGCACAAACCATCAAATCACGAAGAGTGTAGGGGGGAAATAATTCAATCTTTGAAAGATAATAACCTCCAGCCAAGATTGATATATCCTGCACAACTATCCCTAGAAATTGATGGAAAAACAAGGTGCTTCCAGGATAAAGAGGAACTAGGGGAATATGCAACCACCAATTCAACTCTACAGAGAATACTGCAGGATACTCTAAAAAAGAAAAATATGAAGAATCCAGAAATAGTGGCAGAGAGGCCACAATTGAGTGGAGCAGAAAACAAAATGAAGAAGACAAACTGACAACTAATGACAGAAAAAGAGCTCAACAGAAATGAGGCAGAGAAGATTGGATGATAGAAACAGCTATTTTGGAGAAAACAACATCGTAATAGGTAATGCTGATTCAGTATCATCTTGTTTTGAAGTCTCATCAAGCTTTTGCTCTTCTGTCTCCATTGGTCTTAGCATGTTGTATCTTATTGTATTTTATTATATGTGATAGTATAAACAAAAACTTTTATAGACAAGGAGATTATTGTTCATTTTCTGTTAGTTGGTTCTAAATATCCTGTAATACTGTCATTCTCTTGAATGGTTTTACATTGTTTTGATATATTTGATGCTACAGTATACGAAGTTATACTCAAAGATTTCAAGGAAAGAGACACTATGGTAGCTACTTTTATGTCGGGATTATCTTGTGGTGAAACACTATTTTGCTTAAATGGTTATGTTTTGATCTGTGCTGTTTTGTTGTTATGCCCTCTTTTACTCAATCTCCATTTTATTATTTACTTTTTTATTTTTATCCTTTTAATTAAGGGAAAAATAAATAAAAAAATAGTAGGATATATTATAGTAACCCACTTTGATTTACTATTAGCTTGATTTGAAGCCCTGTATTGCTCTCACCATCTTGTTTTGACTGATATTCCTCTATTCTGTTTTGCTTGATAGTACCAGGTTCGAAAGTATAGGCAACAGCTGTGAAGATAGTGGGATTCATTATGACACCCATTATGGTTGACTACTATCTACTTTTGAAGACCTATAACATCTCCAATGTTTTGGTTTTGTTGGTTTCGTTCTTTACTGTTTTGTTCAATTTTATTATAACTGATAATATAGGCAATTCTATTAGAGATAGCGGGAGGCATTATGGTAACCATTGTTGATCACCTTGTATTATGTTTTTATATTATTATGTCCACCCTTTTGATTTGACCGACTCTGTTCTGTTATGTCACACTTGGTTTTACTCTCTTCCAAAAAAAGTAATAAGGACTGTGGGAGCAATAAAACCCAAAATGTGTAATAGTCACTGTACAAAAGAGAGGAAAAGAAAGTGCTCTAAACTGTATAACTGCATGTATATTTAAGTGTATAAGATAGACAATGATATTACTGAGTTTTGTTGGATCATTGAACAGAACTGTTTGGTCTCACTGTTTGAATGTCCATTATAGAAGCTTTAATTTTGTAACTTGAACAAATATTTCTAAGATGACAATATGTAACCCATTAACTAGTGATTTTACTGTTTATTTTTTTCTGAAATTCTGTATAACTTGTACCCTTTCTCTGCTTTTTTTTCTTTTTCTTCTGAAATAAAATTAAAAAAAGATCTGATGGATTATCCTTTTTTAGGATAAACGTAGTCAATTAAAAAACCTTGTTAAATATTTTTCTTTTACCCCACATACAGAAAAAAAATGTGTTTTTTTTGTCACGTTAGCCTAATTCTTATGCTAATTTTACAGTGATTTCTGCTATGCATTTGAACCACGTTCATATATCAAAATGGTCTGCTTTATGGTTGTGGGGTCTGTTTGTGAGATTTGCCACATGGTAAGATTTCCCATCTTCTTGGAAAACTGTGAAATGAGCTCTTTCAGAAGCACAGGCCTGTCATGAGGCTGGAGGGTGAGTTTTGGTAGAGGAGAAACGCAGCCTTTTTTCTAAGGTGGTTATGATTTGGTTAGATCCCAGAGCAATTTTGTGGTACTGCAAAGTTCTTTTCTCCTTACTTTCAAGTGCATGTTTTCCAGTGTGACTAGTTTTACCAGTCCTTCAGAGACAGCATCTTATTTGGCTTCTTTAAAGGCGAGTTGATCCAAACTGGGGAGTGAGTGGTCTAGGAGAGGACCACTGGGATGCCCTCCTACGCCGCTCTCTGGAACACGCTGTTACAATGAAAAAGCCTTCAGTTTGGAAAGATTTGCAACAGCAAATCTATGCTGCGCCTGAAGAGGACACATGATAAAGCCAGTGCTCATGCATGGTAGAGGTGCAAGGCAGAAGATGGGACCTAGGTTCCAACAGCAAATGTGTCTTCAGCAAGGCAGGGACGGATGTTCCTGGATTTCTGAGGCGGCGGCGGGAGGGAGCTGTGTTGGGGCTTCTGTGTGGCCCAAGGGTGCACGCTGCTGTCCAGGTCAACGCCAGGCGCAGTCCTGAGGGTTTCTTCATCCCGGCCTCCGGTGGCTGCCCTGCAGGGTCACAGCTCTGCTCACCTCCCTGGGCCCACCCTGAAGCAGCCAGAGGTGACAGGCGGCGCAGTCCTGCCCCTGCTCAGTGTTCTCTCGAGGTGAGCCCTTGGGAGCCCTCAAACCCCTTGTCTCCCCGTGCCCCAGGAGGTGACTTGTGGGAGCCAGGCTGGGCTGGGCGTCTGGGATGCACCCCTGAGGAACACAGGGCCCAGGGTCCCCGCATGGCGGGCTTGCCCTCTCCATCCGTGGGTCCCGAGCGTCTCTGCCGGGGCGCTCTCCTCCGCCCTGCACGCTCCGGAGGACCGGAGCTCGCGCCCCTGGAGGGCGGGCGGGACGGCGGGCGGGGCGCGCGCCCGGCTGGGCCGCGGCGGGGGAGGAGCGCCCGCCCGCCCGCGCGCCCAACGGACCAGGCTGGGGCCGCGAGGTAACTGCTGCGGCCGGCAGGAGCCGAGCGAGAGCCGACAGCGCGTCTCCAGTCCCAAGCGGTGCCCGAGGGAGTCGGAGGCGGCGGCCGCACTGTCCGGCTCTCCGGGCCCCTGTCGCCCCGTCCTCAGCCAGCATGTCGCGGACTTGGCTGCCCCTCAGCCCGCGCGGCGGGGACCCGGGGCGGCGGCGGCGGCGGGCGCAGCCCTGACGCGGTGCTAGGCAGGGGGGTCGCCCGAGCGCGGGAGCCCCGCGGCCCCCGCCGGCCCCGGCCATGAGAAGGGACGAGCGAGACGCCAAAACGATGAGGTACCCGCCGTCGCCGGACGGGGCCGCCTCGCCCCCCGAGAGCCTGCGGCGGAACGGCTACGTGAAGAGCTGCGTGAGCCCCCTGCGGCGGGACCCCCCGCGCGGCTTCTTCTTCCACCTCGGCCGCTTCTGCAACGTGGAGCCGCCGCCGCCCGCCTCCCGCCCGCCGCCGCCGCGGCGCGGCGCCCCCTCCGCCCGGGCGCGCGTCTCGCTGGGCGCCCTGGCCGCCTTTGTCCTCGCGCTGCTGCTGGGCGCGGGGCCCGAGCGATGGGCGGCCGGGGCGGCGCGGCTGCGGGCGCTGCTGAGCGTGAGCTCGCTCTGCCTCAGCCCGCTCTTCAGCATCGCCTGCGCCTTCTTCTTCCTCACCTGCTTCCTGACTCGGACCAAGCGGGGCTGTGGCCCCGGCCCCGGCCGCAGCGGCGGCTGGTGGCTGCTGGCGCTGCCCGCCTGCTGCTACCTGGGCGAGTTCTTGGCGTGGCCTTGGTGGTCGTGGGCCCCGTACGCACCCCCGGCGGCTGTGGCGGGGAGCCTGCTGCTGGCGCTGAGCGGCGCGGGGCTGCTGGCGCTCGCACAGCCGTCGGGGCCCAGGCTCTGCATCCTGGTGCTGCCCTTCACCGGCGCGGTCTGGTGGGTGGCGTTCAGCGGCCTCGGGGCGCTGCCTGCTGCGCTCCGCCCGCTGCTGTCCTGCCTGGCCGGGGGCGCCGGTGGCCTCCTGGCCCTGGGGTCGGATCACTTCTTCTACATCAGGGAAGCTCCTCATCATTCTCAGTTGTCCAGCACCGCGGAAGACAAAGTGCCTGTGATCAGACCCAGAAGAAGGTCCAGCTGCGTGTCGCTGGGAGAAACCGCAGCCGGTTACTATGGCAGTGACAAAATGTTCCGGAGACCTTCGCTGCCTTGTATTTCCAGAGAGCAGGTAGGTCAGCCCGAGGGCAGCACCTGGGGAGGATGCGAGTGCGGGGCTTGGTCGCTCCCCTCTCTGGCTTGTTTGAAAGCATGTTAACTTCCAGTGGAAATAAAAAAATGGGTAACATTTGTTGTGGAGAGGTTTCCTAAAATTACAGGGAACTTTTTGCAAACTCAGAAGCCAGTCCTTTTACCTTTCAGTAGGAATGAAATAGCCCACTAAGCCTATTGCATTTTTTTTAAGCGTATTTTTATGCAGTTGGTGAATTCTCAGAAGAATGAGGTGAAATTATTTCTGGTTTAATAGGGTTGACTACTCCCATTTTTGGAGTATTCTGGTATATCTCTTTTTGGTGCTGTTTGTTTTTTTGCTGTAATGTCTGCCTAAAAATAATCAGCAGCCATTAGGATGGGGAAAAATATATGGACTTTGAACAGTAGGTTTTCATTATTGTGATAATTGAGAGAATCAATCAGAGATCTTAAAGGAACCAACAACAGTAAGTTTTGGAACAGACTTACCCAAATGAAGACCGTAGTGTACACTAATACAGTTTTTTAGACTAACTCATGGTCGTGTGTATTTGTTGCAAAATAGGAGCATGTTTTAATATTTTCACTTTTTAAGTTAGTAATGTCTGGAAAGATACCAAAACATTTCCATCTTTTTTCGCGTAGGCGTTCATATTTTTGTTTTTTAAGGGAATTGAAATCATTAGTAATGAAATTATGTGTTTAGAATGCATTGGAGAAACCTGGTTTACATCACCAAGAAAGTCAATAAGTACAGCTATTACTCACTGAGCACTGCTTTACATATATTCTCTCAAATCTTCGTGTGTTGGCCAAGTTGACATTAACATCAGTTTAGAAGTGATCGAATTGAGACTGACAGAGATGAACCAATTTCACAGGTCCAAGAAGTGGCCATGTTATGATTTGATTGGATTTTCAGTTCTCAGTCATGTTTTGCACAATTTAAAGGGTAGGTGTAGAGGTTTTTAAGTAGGAGTATCTGTCATTGGTTTGGTGTCAGACTTACCGAACTTTGTTAGTGATATCTTTTGCACTGGTACCCGCTGTACTGGAAAAAAGAAATTCTTGTTCTTAGTGCATCCGAGGCACTCATCTCTGTTTGGTTCCCTCTCTTGTGTCTCTTTAGTAATCTATAGGCTGCTTCACTGACTTTATATTAATTTAAGCATTGATCTGCTGGAGTGTTGTATGAGGCATCACTTGGCTTCTCTGGATGGCTTCAGAGGCCGCTCTTGTGGTCTGTATTTGGTAAATGATTGAAACAAATGTTGTGCCCTTTGTTTTCTAGATTTACTACCTGTGATAATGGACAGTGCTTAGAAAAATTTGTATCAGGAGAAAAACTCTTGAGAGGATTCATTATCTAATAAAGTAGTATCAGGTATTTTCAGGGAATGGTATAAATCTGGTTTTTGACTATGTAACTAATAGACTGCATTGTTCACGCTGGAAAAGCCTTTTAGAATAGATACATTGGGCTTTTAGACAAATCTTCTGAATTTAACAGTTTAATATATTTTTTATTGTAATTTGTTGATGTAGCCAATTACATGTGTTCTCTTGTAAACTAAAAACCTTATGATTTTTAAGAGTCCCAATGTGGTGCTCTTTCCATCATATAAACCTTTATCAAGCTTTAATTTAGGCACAGCACTGTGCTAAGTAGCTTCATTTATTGTTTGTATTAGAGGGTAATATAATTTGTGCTTCTAAAAAGGTGTATTTTTTTTTTTTTTTTTTAGTGCGGAAACCCTTATTTGCATTCTACACTGTGTAGAAACATTTCTAGTCTTGAAACATACGTTAATAATGCAAAAGTTTATACATAAGTACTTAATTTTTAGTGTCAAAATGATGCTATTTGGCCATCTTTAGAAGATGCTATTTTTTAACCTAGTAGAGCTCATAATAGCAAGAATTTTTGTTCATGCGCTAATAGAGAGTATGTGTTCCGTATGTATTATGTTAAGGAAATTAAGAAGGAATTTATGGAAGTAAAAGATCGAGGTTGTGTAATTTTAAAGTTTGTACTTTCACTTTGTTTATACTTTTGTTAAGGTATAAATAGGAGGGAGTATAAGGACTCACAAGTTAATATTCTTGAAATTTTGCTTTAATATTAAATGTTATTGTTAACCTGCATTTTTAAAGGTATAATAGTTGGAAAATATGAACAAATACTCTATATTTTTTGGATAGAGAGTATTTTCTTTTAAAAAATACATGTGGGTTTATTAAACTTGTTGCTTTCATTTCCTTAAGAAATTAAACTTTTTATTAACATCTTTGACAACCACTTCATACATATAAGTATAAACTTTTTATTATACTGGATGGATTTAATGTCATTTTTAACTTTTAGGATGTCACATATTGGAAAATAACAGTACGTGTTTATGAAGCATGTGATTTATTAAGTTTATAGAGTTTTATTTAAATACTATATACATGCCAACTCTTAAGTTCTTCTTTTCGCCTATGGAGATTTAGTGTTTAAATCTAGTTACTGCTGACTGTGTTCTACTTTGGTAGGTTCATAGAAAAAAGAACTCTAAGTTTGTAATTATCTTCCAGGAGTCAGCTGAAACTGGAGGAAGTTAAAAAAAAATCAGTTGTGTACACGAAAGCTTTAACTAGAACTGAAAAAATTACATTTCCGTGCTATTTTTTTTATTTTGTGAGAAAATAAAACAAAATTTCATAACAAAATAATAGAGATAATAATAGTTATAATACACTGTGCGTCATTGTTTCCCAAGTACTCAGAGTACATACAATTCATAAACCAAGTAATTGTCTTTTACAATGAAGAAACAGATAATAGCACAAAACTTTCTTTTCAATGAACAAAGAAAAATTAGTATTATAAGTGAAGCAAATTAGCATGTATAGCTGTATATTCTACAATGTAGCTTTTGACTATTCAGTAAAATCATTTTGGATGTGATTAGATAAATATTAGGTATCAAAAAGCCTAAGTTAATGTGCAAGGTATTTTTCTATATGTAAAATATCAAGTGCTTTCATAGTTAGGTAAATATTTTAAAATTCTGTGGCCTTAATGCCCATAAATATTATTTAAAGCATTAATTTTATTTGAAAAATGTGTACATATGTTGAGTGAAGTCTTAAAAAAAACTTTTAAAAAGTGTGATTATGTATCTCCTGATTTAACACATACTCCACTCTGAATTTCTTTAATAACAATATAGCCTTTTTGAAATTTATTTTATGATTTCAGTGGGTGTTTTAATTTTATGTTAGTATTTTGTAGTGATGCAGTCTACATAATAATGTTGTATTTTGTAAGTATTGTATATACTTTGCCATCAGAATTACCTTTCAAAATACAGATTTAACCAAGTCACTTTTCCAGTTTTAAAAATGCATCATGGCTTTTCATTGTCCACAACATAAAGTTTGTACCCTTGGCCATTTCGTTCCAAGTCATTCATAAACTGCTTCTAGCCTTTTCTGCTTTGATTTTGAAAAAGTATTTTAGTGCTTACGAATTTCTGCCTTCCTGGATCCGTCCTTGGTTCTGGCTTTTTGAGTGCTGCTTACTGTTACTGAGTTTATTTTTGCTTTTGCTTAAACTATTTCTATTGGTTGAAATCACTTTAGGGAACAAATAAGACTAAGAAGTCTTTGGACAGTTACCCGATACTCAAATTAATATACGGTATAAGCTGAGAGTAGAGCTTCATTAAAAGAGTTGTCCATATTTAAGAATAGAAGTTGAGAAATCACATGAAGCAATATTGGTGTGTAATACAATATTTTAATGATGTTACATAAGGTAATAACATTTCTATAATTTATGTTTCCATACACTGAGTGAAAGGCAACCATAATTAAATCTGAAGTTTGCTTTCATCATTATCTGACTCTGTTCCTCAGTAGTAGGCTCTTCTCTGGTCCTCTTTTTCCTTTTCCTTGTAATGATCAGGTTATTTTGCGTAGCACACTTTTTTGCCCTTCTGTACCATAACTAAAGCAGGAAGAATCTATACTTTGCTAAAAAGCTTACTTTAATGTAAATGTTTGAATAGAGGATATTGGAGAGATTTAGAGTTTATTGCTTTATTACACTGCGAATTCTCTTATTTTGCTGAAAGTAAAGAATTTGAACTTCAGAGAAATAAAATATTGGCTCAAATTTATTCTGTGAGTTATTGTGAAAATAAGGCCAAACCCTAGGTCTTGACTTCTGATCCACCTACTTTCCATACAGTGCACATGGACCTGTAGTTATAGTTTCTCCAGTGGCTTCCATTATGTAATAGAAGGTGGTCTCCTTGGTTAAGTAAGTGTGTGTGGAGAGCATGGAGGAAAGAGGAGGGATTCTTGACATCACATAGTTCATAATGGTGACCTTAAGGATAAACTTGATATCTGGTATGGTTACTTTGGGGTGTCTTAGCAGGATGCAGCTCAAACTCAAGAGCCTTTAGGGACCAGGCACATAGCATATGTGTATATTGAGGAAGAAAGGAGTACTATGAGGGTGTGAAATGCTTAAAGGCATTTCATTTAAACAAAGCAAACAAGTGTGTTAGCCAAACAAAACTTTAGAACTGGGTTCTGTCTACGGGTCGTTCTCAGCAGTTTTTAACACTGGGGTGGTGTTCATCTTGCTCTTCACAAACTGATTCATGCTTATTTAGGTGGTTTTTAGAAGCCTGTTCTTAGAATTTGGAGCAGAAGAATGTGTCTTTCACTGTTTCTTTTCTTTTTCCTTTACAACCTAGAATCTTCTCTGTAGTATTGGCTTTTCTAGGAGACAGCTTATCTTTATAGATTTTTTCCTTTCCCCATCAGCTGTGGTACATTTTTTGACTCCTTCCTACTTCACATTTCATACAATTTGCATTCAGCACATTTTAAATTTATTTAATTAGAATTTAAATTTTTGATGAGAAGTATCATACACACAAGACTGTAATAATATGTATATTTTTATATGTTTTAAGT